ATGCTCCATACATTCATTGGTAACTCCTTCTGCACCATGGAATGCTCCATACATTCATTGGTAACTCTTTCTGCACCATGGAACACTCCATACATTCATTGATAATTCTTTCTGCACCATGGAACGCTCCATACATTCATTGATAATTCTTTCTGCACCATACAACGCTCCATACTTTCATTGGTAACTCTTTCTGCACCATGGAATGCTCCATACATTCATTGATAATTCTTTCTGCACCATACAACGCTCCATACATTCATTGGTAACTCTTTCTGCACCATACAACGCTCCATATGTTCATTGGTTAGCAAATACTTGTATAGTATTGCCTACTATAGCCAAGTTCTTCTTAACTGGTTTATTCACATTCTTCTTCTTCTTTGTGTACACCGGTTGTAAACTCTGGCGGAAAGTTCTTGTTGTCCATCCACTTCCTGACTGCAGTCCTGTTTCAGATCCTGTTGCGTGTACATATGTTTGACAGATCTGACTTATTTGTGTGCAGACTGTTGGTTCCTTGCCTCTCAGAAAGATATACTCTGACTTTGAAGGAAGCTCCCAATTGGTCTACTCTTAGAACATGCTTTTGGATAGATAATAGGTATATTCTTGTTTTCCCTATAATAGGACCCCCGGAACCCACACATGATATTTGAACTAAATAAAGAAGAGCTTGGAGGCTGTGGAGATGGGGTCTCTGAGGCGCCTGCTATAGATAGATAGTGTAACCAACGACGACTGCCAGGAAATGGCTAATGAAATTAGAAAACTATATACAACATTAAGAAAAACGCAGTCAGTGTTCTTCGATCATGTGATGAGAAGAGAAGCGTTAGAGAACATCCTGATGCCTGGAAAGATCGGCGGTAAAGGAGGCAGAGGCAGACCAAGGGAGACAATGCTTGACAACCTGTAGCTATGACAATTATCTGTGGAACTGATTCAAAATCTATGGAGAGACATGCGCATGTACACTGCCCGACAAGGTACATGATGATGATGATGATCACAGTCAGTAGTTAAACCGGCTCATTCTGTCAAAATTATTAGTTTTTCCTGGGGCTTTTTCTTTTTTCTAGCAAAAAGGTGCCGGTACTCACCACAGAGAGCATATTACCGTAGTACTAACAAAAAAGGCTGTGAATTAGGCGTTGCGAACACGCTTCGTATTACCACGGTGCCGAGTTCAGTCTTAGCTGAAAGCGATTTGGCAGCAGACTGTCTTGCTATGGTAACAGTCGTATCGAGAGTCAACCATTTAGAAAGCAATGGCAAACTACTGAATGTAATTTTGCCTGGTAAAACCACAACAACCAAAAACAAGCTGGCTTTAGTTCTGCAACATCCGCTAAAAGATATGCAACTGACATTTATTTAATTTTTTTAAAATGATACCTTAAAAAAGTGCTGGAACTGAGTAGCATTGCTTACTACCCCATAGTGTTTTAATATCATGGAGAGGACGGCGTGGTCTCAAGGTATGGTGTCCACCTCAAATGCTGGAGGTCCAAGTTTTAAGCCCTGGTGAAGGCTGGGATTTTTTTATGTGGACTTCTAGTAATTTCTCCTTGGTCTCTGAGTAGTAAGTCCGGACGTCAGTGTGTATTGTTGCGCACGTAAAAAATCTTTTGGCAGTTGGAAATCGAAAAGAGTAGCCTTACGGTGCTGCCCGCTCAAAAATTTTGAGTTTAAAATGTACCCAAAGTATTTCAGTATCCTCACCTGCGCAACGGAGTTGATGCACTGCGTTGAGATTCTTCAGACTCAGGCTTAAGTTAGAAGAAGAACGGAGCACTTATGGGTTACACATGTGTGCCATGATGTTGATCCATTGAAAGAACATAACCATAAAACATATGGATGGAATCTAGTTCAGCACCTTTAGCCTCACTTATTGTTTGCCTTAGTGTTTCTTTTATGTGTCCTGATTTTCCTTAGTCTAACTGTTTCAGATTTAAATGCCTGTTTGGTGTTGTAAATATAGGAAAGTTAAACACATCTAGGACAAATTAACGAATAAATACACTTTATTTTTAAAGAGTTCAGAGTTGGGCAAGGGCCTGTCTTACATTCTACCCTTCTAGCCTCACCCCAGAGTCCAAGAGACACCAGACAGGCAGTTTTTGGATATAAGTGTATGAGGTTTTAGGTTTAAACAATGGATCAATATCATGGCACACAGGTAACCCATAAGTGCTCCATTCTTCTTCTAAATCATGTCTGAAAAAGCTCAGCACAATGCACAGGCTCTGTAGCACCGGCGAGGATCCTGAAATACTTTGGGTAGATTTGTAACTCCAAATTGTGCACAACAATGCACCCAGGCATCCGATCTCACTACCCAGAGACCAGTGGGGAATTACTAGAAGTCGAAGTCCATGTGAAAAAATCCCAGCCCTTACCAAGGATTGAACCCGGAACCTCTAGCACTTGAGGCGGACATCATGCCTCGAGACCACGCAGCCCCCTGGAAATAAGTGTATATGTATCACAACTGATTGACAGTACATATAGCAGAAGACTGTTAGCAGACTTGATTACTAATGCCACATACCATTCCTGTATGGCATTTTTCAAGAGAGAGAGAGAAACATGAACCAACTGCCTCCTAACAAGCATGCCATAAAAGGCAACTAAATAGGGGTTTACTAAAAATCTGATGTGAATGGTCAATAGTAATTTTTATCACAGCATAGCTGTAAACCTCAATACAAATCCCAGATGCACTTTGAAGTGTGAACCCATAAGAAAACAGAAGAGAAACAAGAAAAATTCAATTTTCAAGTTTTTATTGTTGTGGTCTTAATACTCCCTTCTGTAGTTGGTATAACTGATATGAGAAGAAGCATCCTTGTGACACTCGTATTCTTTTTTTAAATTATCTGTTTTCCTTCATGAGAACTCAACATTTTATGTCTCTATATGTTGCCTTTACTTTGTTGGCAGGTGACACTGTCATCTTTTTGAATAATGTAAAGGAACTAGAGCTTGTTTGTCCATTAATACAGTGAATATCAAAACATGTTCCTGAATTTTTAAAGAAAACAAAATAATGTCCACAGACAAAGCTGCATGCTATCGAAGGATAATGGTCGGGGATGAAGAAATCAAAACTCTAAAAATTTGTGAACATCTGGGCTTGACGATAATTAGCAGTGAAGGTGTGAAAAGGAGAATCACCATAGCAGTGCAAAGATTAAACAGCATTGACTCTTGTCATTATTAGGCAGTTACTTCATCATCATCATCAAATACTTTGCCCAATGGCCTAGGCGTTCATGCATCTCCACAGATCTTGGTTTTTGGTGTTCAGGATCAATTCGACTGATGAAATTCCTCCATGCCACTGTCTTAGGCCATCCACCATCATTTCTATTGGTCTGCATCTTCTACTACGTGATCTTTCCAGTTGTCACAGTATTTTCCAGTGCTCCTTTTCTCTCATCACATGACCAAAGAACTTTGTCTCCTTCTCATTGTTGTGTATACTGTTTTACTTTCATTAGCTATTTCCAGGCAATCATTGTTATTTATTCCGGCAGTCCAAGGTTGTTGTTTCCTAAACTTGTCATATTCTGGCATACTGTACTTGAAGTATTACAAGTTTAGTTGTGAAGGATTAGACAGAATATGTTATGAGACAGCACACTTACAAATCAGATACAGTGTGTTAAGGTAGCATTTATCTGTCATAGAAGAATGCAAGAACAGTATGTTGTCTTCGGGGTGATAAAGAAACAGGGTGTTTCTTTGCTTGGTACCCAAAGAGGACCTGGAGGTCAGTAGAAAGGGAAGGGAAGGAATATGAAATGATATCGGATACCGTAGACAGAAAAGCTGCAGACCGGCAGAAGTGGAGATCACTTGGGAATACCTTATGTGTCAGCAGCAACATGAAGACGATAAAGATAGATTTTGATTGGTCCCTTAGATAATTCTTAAATGCACTAACCTGCTAGTTAGTGTCAATTACTTTCTCATATGATTGTGAGCTCATTAAGCAAATACCTGAAGTCCTTTGAGTGACTGCTGTCCTTTAAATGCTGTCTGATATCCATGTCTTGCCTGGTAGCTACTAATTATGAATTTGCAATTTCATTATGGTGCTTGCTAACAGATTTCTTTGATTCCCAGTTTTAGCTGTGTTCACATGAATATTTCACTATATGTGTGTGTGTGTGCATGCGTGACCTGTTCTCTGTTAACACCTAATGTATATGCGCGCACACCTGCATATACATTAGATGTTAACAGAGAACAGGTTGTACCAACTACTATTTTACTTTACTCAGTCATATCTCAAGAGCACCAGACAGTCTTTCTTCTTTCCTTCCTTGGTTCACCGGCTGTAAGCTCCGGATGAAAGTCCTGCTTGTAAATCCATTTTGGCTCTAGCTTTGTGCCAGAGCCTGAGTTTTGCATGTACATCCATTTTACTGGCCTATTTACTCGCAGTTGGTTGTTACTTCCTGCTTGGGTAAATGCACGCTGACTTCAAAAGTAAGTCCCCAGTTATTTGACTTCTGCGACATGCTTGTTGTGGAGGCAGAGAGTCTGTTCTTGGGTCTTTTCATAATAGTCACCCCCTGATGACATCACAGGGACAGTCCAATATTTTATAGAGTGGTAAGACTGGGTTTTCGGGCTTTGTGGTGCTTCTAACTACCCCAGAACACCTAGAACTGGACCTAACCCCAACCCACAAGGGAGTGCAGCCTAGGTCCCACGACTGCATGCAGCCTATCTACCACCCTCTGAAATATTGGAATGTCTGTTTGGGGTGAATAATAATTAAAAAAAAGAAAGCACCTGTTTTTCTTTTCACCACAATGGGGACCCAGAACTGACACAGGGAATTACACCTGACATCTTTTATATGTAACTCAGTCATATGTGACCAAGACATGACTCATATGGGTACAAGTACACTTTTGCAAGCTATCTTACGTCATCCTTGTTATGTGTCTAGCAGGTTTGTCCTGGTCTAGCCATTCATCATGAAGTTGGATGAGTTTGAAATCCGTTTTGACAATCCTAGAGGGGTGTTCTGTACAGGAGACAATGTCAGCGGCCATGTTGTTGTCAAACTGACCAAGCCAATGAAGATGAGAAGTAAGGATGATTTTTTTGTTTTTATGTGAATGGTCTTATTTTGATTGTGGGTTGAAATGTCACAACTGCCAGTTAATGCCTTTATTATGCCACATTTGCCGTGTAGGCAGGGGGGGGGGGGTGGTCTTTGAGTCTGAGGATTTACGGCTGCATGGCTGGTGCTGTCGCCACGACTGTGCAGGTGAGGAGTTTATTTTGCCCCTGACAGAAACAAATCTCCAGCCTTACTGAGGATTTGAACCTGGGTCTCGCGCTTGAGAGTCCAGTGTTCTAACTGTTCGGCCAGCTGCTCCTCGCTAGTTAAAATGTAAATTGTATTATTCTAACATGGGGAGGCTTAAGGTGGATGCAAGACATTCAAGACATATTGGCTATGAAAGAACACAGGGCTGAAGAATTGGCTTAAAAAAAGAAAAAATTGAATCAAGAGAAGATGGTGCTATACTAGACACATCGTGAGAAGAAGTCAGGAGAGAATCACCAAACAGACGTTGAAATAGGAAATAAATTGATTAAATAGGCGAGGACGTCCAAAAGAAACCCTAAAACAGATGTGGATGAGAGAGGCCAATGCTGCTGGACTGGATTCCATCCGTGATATTGAACTGATTTGCACAGGATAGAACACAATGGAGGAATAGACTCAGATCCCATGGCACAACGAGACAATGAATGAATTAAAAAGCAGTTGGTAAGACGCTGGCCATAAAAAATACAATTTTCACCTATTGGTACCTTAGGCATATTGTATTAAACCTGTATTTTTAAAAACCAATTAACACTCTATGAGTGATTTTGTCAGCATTATGAGGGAAGCCTTTACTTCCCAGAATATTTCATGGTACCCATTTTAGGCACGACCCTGGCTCCCAGTTTGACGCAGCAGAAAATGGCCTGCAGGTAAAGTCCTGAGAATTGGAAGCCGATGGCACGATCTTGACCATATCACCCGCCGATTGGTCTATAAAATATAGATCTAGCACCATATGCCAAATAAGTCTTAAGTTTTGTGGAAGAGAATCATTTACTTGGCCTACTTTGGCTGGGTAAGTCAACCTGGCAGCTCAAGTAAATTTTTTTTTTTTTAAATATCTCGTCTTTGCAGTTTCTGTCTGTGGATACCTCAGCCTACTTTCCTTAGCACTACAGAAATGCTTTTTGACTGTGCCCTACGTGGTTTGTGTTGTGGACTGCAGATTCAGAAAATGGTGGTCGGCCTGTTTCAAAAGAAATTGTGATGCCTTATGGATTATTTGCATGTTCACCTGCTGGTCTATTGTAACTGCTGCTTCCATCCCAGGATAAACTGCATTTCTCGTGTCAGACTGTTTGTGTTGGCATTTCTTATGCATTTCATGTGTGTGTAAGCTGTTGGCTTTGTCGAGACTACAGTCTGTGTTAGTTTTTTTGCAAGAGACAGTGATGGACATACTGTGTGGTTTTCCTTGGCATGGGGATGGAGCAACTATGGGGTGACCCATTTGCTAGGCAGTTGAAACTGTGGTGAACTGATCACTACTACACTGTGGTTACCTGATCACTACTACACTGTGGTTACCTGATCACTACTAGGCTGTGGTTACCTGATCACTACTACACTGTGGTTACCTGATCACTACTACACTGTGGTTACCTGATCACTACTACACTGTGGTTACCTGATCACTACTACACTGTGGTTACCTGATCACTACTACACTGTGGTTACCTGATCACTACTACACTGTAGTTACCTGATCACTACTACACTGTAGTTACCTGATCACTACTACACTGTAGTTACCTGATCACTACTACACTGTAGTTACCTGATCACTACTACACTGTAGTTACCTGATCACTACTACACTGTAGTTACCTGATCACTACTACACTGTGGTTACCTGATCACTACTACACTGTAGTTACCTGATCACTACTACACTGTAGTTACCTGATCACTACTACACTGTAGTTACCTGATCACTACTACACTGTGGTTACCTGATCACTACTACACTGTAGTTACCAGATCACTACTACACTGTAGTTACCTGATCACTACTACACTGTAGTTACCTGATCACTACTACACTGTGGTTACCTGATCACTACTACACTGTGGTTACCTGATCACTACTACACTGTAGTTACCTGATCACTACTACACTGTAGTTACCTGATTACTACTACACTGTGGTTACCTGATCACTACTACACTGTGGTTACCTGATCACTACTACACTGTGGTTACCTGATCACTACTACACTGTGGTTACCTGATCACTACTACACTGTGGTTACCTGATCACTACTACACTGTAGTTACCTGATCACTACTACATCGTGGTTACCGGATCACTCTTACACTGTGGTATCCTGATCACTACTACACTGTGGTTACCTGATCACTACTACACTGTGGTTACCTGATCACTACTACACTGTGGTTACCTGATCACTACTACACTGTGGTATCCTGATCACTACTACACCCTGGTTACCTGATCACTACTACACTGTGGTTACCTGATCACTACTACACTGTTGTTACCTGATCGCTACTACACTGTCGTTACCTGATCACTACTACACTGTGGTTACCTGATCACTACTACACTGTGGTTACCGGATCACTTCTACAAAAATTCTACATTTCCTTTGCAGGTATACAACTGTACTTTGAAGGCCGGGCAAAGTCACACTGGGAGGTCAAGCAGGGTCGTAGCAAGACAGACTACAGAGCCACAGAGAACTATATCAATCATACGGTTACTCTGTATGGTACAGGTATGGTTCTATCTTTTGTACTTGTGTGTATGTGTTATTTTGAGCCATGCTGTTATCAAGGTAAGTGTATTGGTTTAATTGTACCATGTTTTTACTGGTTTACTGGTGCAGGAGTTGTACTGATTTACTGGTACATTGATTGTGCTGGTTTACTGATACAGTGGTTGTGATGGTTTACTGGTACAGTGAATGTACTGGTTTACTGGTACAGAGGTTGTACTGGTACAGTGATTGTACTGTTTTACTGGTATAGTGTTTGTACATGTTTATTGGTACAGTGGATGTACTGGTTTACTGGTACAGTGGTTGTACAGGTTTACTGGTACAGTGGTTGTACTGGTTTACTGGTACAGAGGTTGTACTGGTACAGTGATTGTACTGTTTTACTGGTATAGTGTTTGTACAGGTTATTGGTACAGTGAATATACTGGTTTACTGGTAGGGTGGCTGTACTGGTTTATTGGTACAGTGGTTGTACTGCTGCAATTGTTGTACTGGTCTAATAAATAGTAGTTTTATTGATTTATTAGCATAGTGTTTGCACTGGTTTACTGTACACTTGTACTCTAAACAGTACATGGGAACTAGATATTTGAGCTTTTTGCTGCCCTCCACACCAATTCTTTCCAGTCCATTGTGGAATTTGAACTTTTAATGTCATTATTTTTTTCTTCTTTGTCTGTGGTATTCTAAGAATTGTTCTTTATCCTTTTAGCTCAAAAGCCCCAATTTTCTTATATATGGGGGGGGGGTGGGGGGGGGGGGGGGGGGATACATATAACAGATAATTTCATTCTGATGTGTCTCTGCTTTATAGTTGTAGAGAAGCTTGTGTCTCCCAATGATCCCAAGAGCTGTAGCCATATAAGCATAGTTTCTGGAATGCTTTTCCCTGTCAGACAGGTCACTGGAAAATCGACCAGATGAAGTGAGAAGTTTTAGCAAAGATACAAGCAGCATTCAGATTGCAAGTCTGAGAATATCTGCCTGAGAGATGAGGAACCAACAGTCTGCTTACAAATAAGACAAGACTCTGTAAATAAGATATACACACAAAACTCAAGTTCTAGAACAGGACCAGAGTCCAGAAGTGGGTGAACAACCAGGACTTTCTGTTGGAGTTCACAGCCAGTGAACCCTAAGAAGAAGAACCAGCATAAACGCTAATTCACAACCTCATGTCTTTTTGTCAATACAAAACTGGAAGGGCACACTTGATAGACACTGCTTCAGCAAACTGAAGCAATCTACATTTGTTCAGTTGTTGAAGATATTTTCTTTCCGTTTTCCAAAAATGCCAGGCAGTAAATTGTACGTTATTTTGTTTATATGTCTGCTTTGTTTTAAATTAACAGTAGAGGAACATTGTGTTGAAGTGAGAGATTGTAAATAAAAAAAAATGGTCACAATTCTGTATTTGCAAACTCCAGGACAAAACAGTGTAGAGCACCCATCTGGCTTTCACTCCTACCCATTTAGTCTTCATTTGAACCCAAGCCTGCCATCATCTTTTGAGGGACGCAGAGGCTATGTACGTTACTTTTGTAAAGCCACCATCAACAGGCCATGGAAGTTTGATGAGCACACAAAACGGGCCTTCACTGTCATTCATCACCTGGACTTGAATACTGACCCAACTGCTGGGGTGAGTCAGCAATCCTCTTTCCTTTTGATTTAGTTCATTTTTGCTGAGATATCGTTTGAAGTCTTCTTCGTCTTCTTCGATCCTTCTGTCAGAAAACTTATATCAGGAGGCTGGTAGCCTTTATGAAAGATATCGTACAATCCATATCCTCTCGTGTACTAAACAACTTTGTCTTCATTGTGGTTGTAACAGGCCAGATTGCATCTCTGTTGTCAGCATACAGTTGACAGTGTTGGAGCACATGCTCAGCATTTTCGGGTGCTACGCTGCTGGGACACGTCTCCGTGATTCCTACACAGAAAAATGTGAACTTATGTTGACTAAGTCTGTTGTGCCCTGTCCTTAGTCTGAAAAAATACACAATCCCTCTCTAGAGAGGCGATGAAGGGTGTCTTGGGGAGAGAATCTGGTGTGTGTATCGAGCGAAGTGAATCATGGACAGTTGGACGATTGGTGAAAAGTTATTTGGAAGTTGTGGAAGTGTGGTTTGATAGACGAATTAAGAGAATACCCTAGACAGAAAATACAAATAGTAATGAAGATGTCTTAGCCCACGTCAGGAGACAATCTGCATTCTTTGGTCATGCCATTTAAAGGAGATGACTAGACATCTTTGGTCACGGTGGGAAAATTGGAAGAGAAAAGACTGAGAGGCTGGACAGTTTGACATCACAGCATGTAAGTTCATATGTGTCCGAATTTAGATTGAAAGTGTAGGAGACTGAAGGTTTATGGATAGACATGACTAACAACGCTACATGACATGGACTTGAAGAAGCAGAAGATAGTTCGTTTGCAACTGCAGATGCTTGTGGTTTTTTTTTTTTTTTTTTTTTTAGAAAAGGGAGGGAGGGCAAGCCCGCTTCCCACAGATAAACATGTCATAAACCACAACTATTTGAGGGTTTTCTGAAATCTGACGTGTTGGGCCGAAAGATATGGATATTGCAGTTTAACTGTAAATCGCAATACAGTGTGCCAACCATCCTTTCAAGGGCGAAAACAAAAGAAGCAGAAACTCAGCATAAAATGGAAAATGTCCTGGAAAGCAAAGGTGACCGGCTTGATGTTGATCACATCACTTGTCACGATTCTGTTGCTTTTCAGAAATATGAGTCTTTCCCTGATATTTGTGATTGTCTTTGAGCCCTCGTCTCTTTCAAAGCATCAGGATTGTTTTTTTTAGCTGTCAGAGTAATTTTCTGTGAACCCACATCTCAGAAGCCTCCAGAAATTATTTACTGTTACTATTTGCAACCTTCTTCAGCAATTTGCCCTCAGAATAGTGGTTGGTATTTGTATTGTGGTTTTTCGGTGGTTTACAGCTAGGCAGCAGTATCTGCGACTTCGGCCTGATACATCCAATTTCTGCAAATCTATAATTAGTGGCCTTTTATGACATGCTTGTTAGAGGCCATTTATTCTATTTTTTTTTTTTTTTTGTATTAACCTAAAATAAGGGTCTTGAAGCCTAAACATGGAATACCTTGACCAAATCATTCCAAGCCCATTGTTTGTAATTGGGTTCAATTTTGCCGTTCTAGTTTTTTATGAAATGAAGTTCCCAATCTCACACTAACTTCCTTAGTCGCCTTGTTATGACATGCATGTTAGATTGCATTGTTGCTATACTTTGCTTCCTGTATGGTTAACACATGGGTAGCTTGCTTGTTGTCACAAACAAACAAATGTCACATTTTTATAGGCTGTTACTAAAGACATTAATGTATTTATGTCCAGTCAAAACGTTGCATTTAATATTTAAACTATTTCTTCATACACTATCGAGTAATCATTAATTTTTATTTTTAAATATTGAGTGTTTGTCACAATGATTTTCAGATGCCAGTTTGGGGGGAGCAGGAAGAGACCGTGGAAGGCTGTTGCTGCTCATCTGGTAAAATTCAGGCCAGGATGACACTGAACAAAACAGGGTATGTCCCTGGTGAGCCACTCAACTTCACTGTGGATATTATTAATGAGTCAGACAGCGAAGTTACGGGGCTGGAGGTGGAGCTACGACAGGTGACTATTTTGATTCACGCTCTCGTTCTTTCTTTCTTTCTTTTCTTTCTTTCTCAGTTGTTTTTTTTTTTCTTTATGTTTTTATTTTTAATAATATTCGGGTTAAAAAAAAGAAAACATGGATTGCTAGTTTATCTCTGTTTTGTATCTGACTGAAGATATGGTATTAAGTCTTATCTAGTTTCATGTACAAGGACCCTTTCTATGCCGTTAGCCCATTCAAGTATATGATGCTAGATCAGGGGTGGGCTAACTATGGCACACGGGATAAAACTGCCCCCCACTTTCCCTTAATAATATGATTTCTGCAAATAACCAGCTTGAACAGACACATTTAAAAACAACAGAAGGGCTTCATTGTGTAAGTATGACACCACAGGCATAGAGAGGGATTTGAATCTTATATTATTGCATAAATATGTTGTGTTATGAATAAATCAGTGTGTTCTATTTATAATGGAATTTTTTCTTTGTGGCCCGCAGTCAAGTTGGTAATTCTGAATTCTGTCTGTGGACCCAAAAAAAAAGCTGCCCACCACTACCCCGGTGCTAGGCCCTTATCGGTGTAGATATTTGATGAGTGATATGATCAAAGTCACACTGGCCATTTTTATTCTCATGACGCCTTGTGGTACCCAGAATCTGTTTGCTGTTGTATGGTTTTAACTGGCAACTTTATATTCAGTAGCTTGCTTGAGTTAAGTTGAGTCAAGAAGTGACATCACAGCACTCGAGGCATTCCCATGCATGCTGTGAGTTCAAATACTGATGGTACCAGTCACAATCTGGTTATATGTCTGTCTTGCCTTTCCTCTGAGTAAGCTGGCCAGACCCTCTGGTTACACCGACAAGCCTCATTCTCTCCAGGCCATAATAATTTTCTATCTCTACTGATTCTGTTGCTTGTTCCCAAAGGGCCTTGTCATGTATCAGTACACCACCCAGTGGTGCAGATCCAGTCAATTTGTCTGTCTGTTCATTCCCCACACCCGCATGGCCTGGAGAAAAGATCCAAAGTATGCTCACTACCTGTGATCTTTCCAGTGAAGCTTGCCACTCTGCTTGTAGCTTGCTTTTGCTTTCTAAATAGTACAACTCTTATCGTTGTCAAAATCTAAATTATCTGAGGCTAACTTTCTAGCCCCTTTTCGGGATTATGAAACTGCCATTGCAGCTACTTAACCACAAATGATGGCTGAGTTACTTTGTTGTTGAAAATATACAGAATTATTAACTTGTTTGCTCATTTAAAAAACAAAGCCACTATGTTGAAGCCACATTGATAAATTGCTTTTTTTCAGATTTGTGCATTCAAAATGACATTGTCATGAATCTGTCTACTGTTTTAATACAGGCAGTTACTTTTGAGTGTAGTTGATCTTGTTTTTCATTTATGAGGACTCATTTATTTCCTTCTTTATATTCAATTGTTACTGTTGTCTGCACCTGACCAGATACAGTGAAATATTCCAGGCAGTAAATTGTGCAGTCTATTTGTAAGTGTCTTTGTTGTTGTTTTTTTTTTTTTGGTTTTGTTTTTTGAAAATGTAAACAAAAATTGTATGGCATTTTTGTCCCCACAGATTGTCAAGTACACAGGTTATTCAGACAGTATATTTTCATCTGGCCACCCCAAATTTCATGTAAAGATAGACAATTATCCACTGTTCACTGGACATTTTTTTGTAAAAAGACACTCAGAAGGCCATCTGAGTCGGTCTGTATGTATTCCTGCCTTGCCACCTTCACGTTTAGATGGATGTGGAATTATTGATGTCTCATATATGGTTTATGTAAGTCTCATATTTTTTCTATTAGTTTCAGCAATTTTCTATGTATAAATGTGTTGTATTTTTGGGGATTTTAATTTGTGATATTCAGTTGTCTGGCTAGTTGGTTGATTGGTGACTCCATAGAAAATAAATTAGTACCATATTTTTCCATGTATCGGACGATATGTTTTTCTAAGTTTAAAATTAAGGGTCCTTTTACACACGGGAAATATTTGTTTGTTTCTTAATTATAAGCTTACAACAACAATAAAAATAGGGATACTCTTCTACTTGGTAAAGTATAATAAGTAAATTACCCTTTTCATGCCTTGGTGGCTTCAGAAATCTTCTTCTTCTTCTTTCGTTCGCATGAAATAAATTGTCTATATCTGCAAAGCCGTCTCTTGTATGAATTTCACTGTCTTTTGTAATTCACTAAGCGGCCCGTAAAGTTTGACTTCCACAAGTGTCTCTTTTGGCCAAATGTTTTGCCTGAAAGCGTTGAATCTGGGACAGTCTTGAAGGATGTGATCTGTTTTTTCAGGTGCCAGTCCACAAGTACACATGGCCGATTGGCCAATCTTAAATTTGTTGTACATGTGGGAGCGAAGTCTATTGTGCCCTGTTCTAAGGCGAAGGATAATAGCTTCAGAAATAAAGGGCTAGACCTAAATTTGTATAAACTAGTCAGCTCTCCAGTGATGTAGTCATCACGTTAGTTGCCTTTACCTCCCAGGACATTACCTGTTACTCAGTTTAGGTTGAGAGTCCAGGTTAGTTGTGAAAACAAACAAATCCGCCTCATTGTGGACTTAAACCTTAGGCCTTGAGGCTAGTAGGGGAGTGAACTCCTCTGAGATTTAACTTTTCTGCTTCTTCTTCTTCGCCGTCACCGAATCTGAACTCAGGCAACTTCTGGACTTTAGTCTTGTTCTAGAACTTGAGTTTTATATGCACATCTATTTTTCACATCTGGTTTATTTGTGTGCAGACTGTTGGTTCCTTGCCTCTCAGACATATGCACTCGGACTTAAAGGAACCACCCTTAATACTCATCTTTTATGACATGCTTGTTGGGGGAACACTGTTTTATAGCGCTTATCATCCATTTTCGTCCTTATTAGGACGAAATTTTTTGTCATTTGAAGCCCTACCCTGGCTTTTGCCAGGGGCCGCAATATAGGCAGGCCATACGTGTGGCCAGATGTCTGAACGCGGTTTCTGGGACCTCTCCACGGCGATCCTCATCCGCATGGTGGCGCTTTGTGTCATCGGGTGTTTATCGCTTGTGTGATGTCCTGGTGGGGTAGAAAGTCAGTCAGTCAGTCAACAGTGTTTTTTTTTGGGGGGTGTCCCCAAAATATGGTCTAGGGACTAACATAGGCTAGTTTTTAAAATCTGCCTCATTAGAGGTTCGAACCTGTGACTCCTGGGGGTGACAGACTTATTTTATTATGTGTTTTACTCAGGGCGGATGCCAGTATTTCATTCATAACTTTGACACTAATAAAGACATGGCAGCGAAATTGGCAGCGGACTTATCTCGGTCTATGCAAATCGGATGACATCATAACTAATGCTGAAATTTGCCACCAATGGTGTTGAGGCGGCAAAACATTGTGTTGCCTTGAGTTTTGCCCATTTATCAGCTTTCTCTGTTTGCCATATGTGTGTCGCGCCAGTTAAAATCCCGTGTTTGACCCTGCAGACTCTCCTCAGCTGGTCTCAGTTGCTTGTCCATGTTTGGCTGGGGCTGATTATACAGTGTCGTCATCAGGGTGACGTGAAGTGAGTACACAGAAGAATACTGGGCTCCACCCTGTGTGAAACACCCAATATATATAGCAAACTGGACACAACAGACTTCGCTGCTGTATGTAAAAGAAATTTAAGACTGGAGACTCTGAACTTTGCCCATGTGGACAGGTGCTACAGAGTGCTGAACATCTGCTGCAGACGTGTTCTCTTCATGCAATAGAAGGATTCCAGCTCTGATCCATTGGCATTCTGGTTGAATCCAAGCTGTGTGTGTGGTCAGTGGCGTGGAAGGAATGCATTGCATCACAGCCGTCTTAGAAGGCTGTGGCCTTCTTATGTGATGATCACTGGCAGGAAAAACAAAAAGTAGAAATTATATACGACAGCCTGGTGTTTCCAACTGCTGTGTGTTTTAAAATAAAGGACCTTTTTCCACCCATCAGACTTATTGGGCATATAGGGCTAGACCTATATTTTATAGATCAGTCAGCATGTGTGTAATGTGGTCACCATAATGATGGCCACCTTCACTTCCTATGACTCTACCTTTTACCCATTCAAGCCTGGGTCCACCTGGGAGCCAAGGTCTTTTAAAAAAAATAGTTTAGCACCATTTGGATTTGAACCTACACTTTCAGATAAGCAAGCGAGCATCTAGCTGCAACACTATGACAGCTTCTAATGTATTTTTTACCATGTTTTTTATCGAAGAACTTTTCAATTTTTCCTAGATGCAGCCACAGCTGAGATGGTCATCTCTAAAAATAGAAAAAGAAATTATCGTGGGAACCATTCCTCTACAAATTCCTCTGAGTTCGCCTCCATCGTTTAGTGACATTGCAATGGACCTCCCTATTTCTCCAACAGCTCCGCCGCTGGATGCTGAACCCCCTCCTTATCAGGAACGTAAGTGTGGCAACTCTGCTTTTTTTGTGTTCTTTTATTTATGTTACTTGTTAACTGTATTGTTGTCATCATCATCCTCATCTTGTGCATTTATGCGCCAAATAAGACTCATCTAAATAGATCTGATTTATTTGTATGCAGTGTTAGTTCCTTGCCTCTCAGGCAGATGCCCTCTTATTTTCAGTTTGTATTGCATATGTTCTTTCACCCTTCCTCTCTTGCTTATTCATACTTCGTTATCATCTTTCTGTTTCCAAAGAAAATATTCTTTAAATAAAGGTGGAGACAGGCAAGCTCCGTGCAGAGTGGCAAGCATTGCTTCAGAGGTCCTGGGTAGTTAGCGTCCTTTGGATATTTTCTCCAGGTCATTATGGTGTGTTGGGAAATGAGCAGCCAGATAGACTGGCCGTTTCTGCACCATTTGGTGGTGAATTTATGTATAACAAGCTAGATATTGTGAGGAGACTTTGGGAGCACATGAACAGTGCGGAGTCACATATAGATCATTACAGTCTGAGGAAAGTTGCGCTGTGGAGGGTTACCAAGGGATCTGGCTGATCTCAAGGGAAAGACGAGACAGATGTACAATCAGGCATTTACTGGTACCATTGTAATTGGAACTCATTGCTTGCTGCTGAAAATGAGGACAGAGTGCTTCTGTGGGTGTCCCGAGTGCTGTGATGTCTATTCTTCATTCAACATTCATTCATCTTTCTGTTTTCTTTAGCGCCACCAACTTATGAAGAGAGTGTGTTTGGCCGTGTGGAAATCAGAGACGAGAATGATGATGTGCACACAGATGGGCATATGTCTTGGGCCCCGTCCTATCCGTACTATCATTGGGATCCTAGCACGCGGCATTTCCAGGTAAGTTTGTGTTCGTGGGTGTTAATTCGCTTGAGTCTGGGTGTCTTATTTTGCCCCCCCCCCCCCACCCCTGTGGATTATTGGCATCATTAGGGGTGGGGGGGGGGGTGATGGAAATAGAATGCTCTGCCCTCCAGCAAACATGCTATAAGAGGTAACTTTATTAGGGTTTTGCAAGTAAAACATATGTCGACATGGGTGATACTTCCTTCTTAATAAAAGAAATTAGCATGTAACATGCTGTGACACTGTATAAATATTAGCTCCTGATTTAAAAAAAAAACGCAACTAGTAAAATGGTTTCACCCTGTATCACTATTACTTCCTAATAAATTCAGCAAGTAAATTAGTTTGGTCCTTTATCACAACAATTTTTTTTAAGTTGTGTATCCTTCACAGGCCGTTGCAGAACCAACCCCAGCATTTTTGTTTGCTGTTATTGTTTTTCTAGGCAAATTTTACATTTAGTAGTTTGTCATTGCTTTCTGAACGGTCAAGGCTTGGTACCACTGTCAAAACCAGTGCAAGACAAATCGTCCCCTGCTGGGATCAAACCTGACACCCCAGCATTAGGAAGCGTGTTCGCAGCACCTAAGCCACAGACGCCGACTTAGTGGTATCACTATTACCTCCTGATTTAAACAACAAAAATATTAACTGACTCACAGAGCATGTTTAGAAAGGAGGAGATAGGCATGCTGCGTGCAGAGCTGCAAGCATCACTTCAAAGGTCCGGGATAGTTAGCATATCCATAGGATATATTCTCCAGCCCATGAAAGTGTGTTGGAAAATGAGCAGGCAGATAGACTGACCGGTTCTGCACCACTTGGTGGTGAACTGATGTATGACAAGCTGGATGTTGTGAGGGCCCTTTGGAAGCGAGTGAACAGTGCCGAGGCACAGATAGATTATTACAGTCTGAGGAGAATGGCACTGCGAGGAGTTACAAGGGGATCTGGCCGACGCTTGACACTCAGGGAAAAGTAGAGATGGATATACAATCAGACATTTTCTTGTACCATTGGAATTTCGGCTGTTCGCTTGCTGCTAAAGATGAAGACGGAGCACTTATTGGGGTGTCTCGAGTGCAGTGATGTCGACTTTTAATTCAACATTCATAAAACAAAAAACAAAAACAAAAAAAAACAAAAAAATCAGCAAGTGAAATGGTTTGACCCTATTTCACTATTACCTCATGATCTTAAAAAAAAAAATTAGCATCAAAATGATTTTAAACTTAACCACTATTAAGTAAAGTTAAGGACCCTTTTTCTCCGCCTTCAGGCATATTGGGCATATAGGGCTAGACCTGTATTTTATAGACCAATCAGCACTTGGTGGGTGATGTGGTCAGCATCATGCTGGCTGCCTTTACTTCTGAGGACTGAACATGGTACCCCCTCAAGGCTGGGATGACCTTGGAGCCAAGGTCATCTATACCACTGTCCCCTCCTGGTAAGATTAGCAGGTGAAATGTTTTTTTCCTATTGGTTTCAGATGATTGCCACGACCCAAGGGCCTGCTGGAGATGTTGGCTACCCCTACCCACCTGCGACCCCTGGGGACACAGACTTGCCTTCCTGTCCCAGATACAACCAGTTATAGGTAAGCTCAGTAGTTATATTTCTGTGACACCTCAGATATATAAACTTTCTAAAAGTGTGATAGAGACTACAGTAGCCACACAATTGTCTTGTAACTTTTTAGTGCTATGTTTCAGGATGTCGGGAGTGTTAAGTATATGACATCATGGTGCAGACGAACATTGTGATGTCTTACTGACAATTTAAAGATGACTCCTCCACTTTTGACATATACCAAAGAGGAGTTATTTACAGTCGAGTCTGGATAAGTAGAAGTTGCAGGGACCTGAGAAAATGCTCCCACTTATTAGGATTTCTACATATCCAGATAGCACTCACAATAGAAAAAATTGCTGGGACTAAGCTGGTCATGTCGACTTAATTGAAATTCAAATTATCCGAGTTCGAATTAAGTGGACTTGACTGTAGCTAGTATTTTTTTAGCCCAAGATGGCGTATAGGGCTGACATCATAGCTGTCCATTTCTGCCGGTTGCCACCTGTTTTAAGTCTTAGATGTATGCTAGGCCCATGGTTGAGCCTTCCCTGGTGATGGTTCTGCACAGGGTCTCTCTTGGTTTTTCCTGTTTTCTGTTCCCTTCTGGTGTCAGTATGTGGGCTTGATGGGGGAGTCATCCATACTGAGTGCATGTTCAATGTAGTTCCAGTGTCAGTTTAAAAAAAATTTTTTATACATTATCTTGCTTGATCTCTTGTCTTATTTGCATATTGGATCTTAAGTCTGTCCAGTGGAAATTTAGCATTCTTCTAGGAAATGTGTTCTCAGAATGGTATATATATATATTTTTTAAATCTTTTTTTCCATCTCATGCATCCATAAGTTAGCACTGGAGTGACACATGAGTTGAAGATCTAAAGTTTTGTGTCCTTGCTGAAAGTCTTTGACTTCCAGATGTTTAACAATTTGTTAACTCTGTCAGTCCCACTCAACACCTGGTGTCTGAATGACTATATGTCTTTATTCCCTCCAAAGCATAATGCACTCTCTTACCTTTACCATTTGTTTAGAAGGTTCTAGAGAAATCTGGCTTCTCCCATTGGTCACTACAACTATGCATATTGTCAATTTGAAAGGAATGAATTCTTGATTTAGTATCATGATTATTTCCTCATTTTGGAATCTCCTGTGAAACCTTCTGGTACTGAAAGAGTTAAAGGCACTAGATGCCAGTGCAATTCTAGATATATTGAGCTAGATTTATAATTGTATAGACTAATCAGCGCTCAGTGGGTGATGTGGTCAGTATTCTTTATTTCCATGGATATAACCTTTTACCTATTTCAGGCTGGGTCGACATGGGTGGTAGTCCAGATACAGTGCAGACCTGATAAGGAGAACTCGCCAGGGACCATGATTCTTCTTATCAGAAATTCCTCTTATTTAGATAAAGAGTTCAGGCAAGAAAACTTGCTGGGATTAAACAGATTGTTCTTCACAACAGAAATTCCCCTCATCCGAGATCGCCTCAAGCAGTCTGTCTATATTTGTTTTGACCTACATTGAGGGAATGCTTTTACGTTTAAATACCATGCAGGGCATACACTGGGGAAAAAAAGTCATGGAGACAGAGGACCAGAACAATAACATCAGAGAAACTCTACACCAAGGTTACTCAACTGGCGGCCTGCAGGCCATATCTGGCCCTCAGAAGCCTAGCCCCTGGCCCGTGGATCATTTACAAATTGTATTATACTAGTGTTCTTTCTATGCTGTGGCTAGGGCCTTTCTCCCGCGGCAGTCTCTACCTTTCATCATTTTTGTCCCTGAATGAACTTAGTTAAATAGCCCTGATTTACAGCAACACTGTAATGTCTATGGTTGAGGCTTCTAGAAGAGTGAGAACTAGAAACATATATCTTCCTTGACACCCACAGTAGAAAAAGAGGAAGCAAAGTAAGTCAAGCTTATTTGCCAAATTATGAGGGGAAATAAGCTTGGAAACTAAGTGGTTAATATGGCAGGGAAAACATTTTGTAAATATAACTTATAGTATAATATACTAAATAGTATTTATATTTTTAATTTATGAGTTAACAGATTTGCTTTTTGATGTATTTTCAGAGCTTTTTTAGAAAGTAAAAACAAAGAAATTACAATTTTAGGGCATATTAGGAAAGAGAAATACTGGGAAACTAAATGCCAAATACAGGCAGTAAAGATAGTATTTATATTTGAATATCCTTGTGTGGATTCAATTGAGAGGGGGGGGGGGATAGACCCAGTGTCCCCTAACAAAAATGTCATAAAATTTTATTGCAGTTTGCTGAAATTGGATGTAAGTCAAAGGATGCAGATATCACACAGCATACCTATAAACCACAACACAAAGTGTCAACAGCACTTTTTGATTATGAATGCAGAAGATGAAGAAGTATTAATTTTTTTTTTTTTTTATTTATAAGTTATGTTAAATTTAAAAATTAAACAAATTTCCCTTTTATGTATTTTTTCAGAACCTAGAGCAGAACAAAACATTGTACAACTGATGTCCAGTGGTCATTGGTGCGAAAATTCCGCTTTGTAAACATTGAAAACTAACAGTATTGGTCGTTTAATATTTAACATAAAAATAAAATTGTTTATTTCAGTGCCATTTTATAAACTGTGAAGTGTGAAGCTACTTTTTGGAATGGAATAGAATTTCAGGAATTGCTTTGTTTTATTTAAAATTCTAACAAAGGCTGCATAAATATAATTAGCAGCTTTACTTCTGTGAGAAATCTGTCAAATAGAACACTCTTATTGCCACTTAGGTTGAATTTTAATTCATTACTAGTTAAGGTTGCCTTGCTTTTAAATGTTTCATGCTGTTTTTTTTTTTTAGTAAAATACTAGTTAATTTAGTTTTAATATATGGGAAGAAAACTGTTGTTGCGTGTCAGAGGTATCATTTTATTTGTAATACTTAAAGTCGACAGCACCATTATTTTGTTTATTTTTAATACTTTAAGTCGAGAAAGGCGGTATTTTGGGCTAGTAATAGAAAGCTAATAATTATGGTTAATATATTTCCTAAACAATTGTTTTATTTCCCTCCTGGTTATACTTTTTTAAATGATTCCATTATAACTAGTTTTGAAAACAAAAATGATTGAAACCTGTTTTTCAAACTTCATCTTTATATCAAAAGCCAAAGAGACGTTAGGATCCAGTACTAAGTGTACTACAATCCCACTATATTATTGTGTCATATAATTAACTCTTTATTTATAATGTGATATAAGATTCTAGAAAAGATTATTTTTATGCCATATGTTCTATGAGTTAATTTTTTAATATGTGAATGCCTAAACCTTTGAAAATGAATGTTATATACTTTTTGTCATAGATCAGATCCAATTTAAAGAGTCTATTAAAACTGCAAATAATTGATTTATTATTATTTGTAATGTTATGTAAATTCTAGATTTAATAGATTGAGGGACAGTAAATATATTTGCTTTAGTTTTTTTAACCACAGACATGTAAACAGACAGTATTTATTTATTTTTCTTGTGTGGGCTGGGACGCTGCAATCTGGTGGGTAAAAAAAAGCAAGAGCCCCCCCCCCCCCCCCCCCCCCAGCATGTTTTACAAGCTGACTCATTTTTGCTAGAATCAGATTTGTTTGGCCAAACATCAAAGATATCGCAGCTTGGCTGTAAATCAAAACACGGCATGCTGACCGCCATTTTAAGAGCAAGTGTGGAAGAAGAAGAGTTAAACTGATAATTACCTCTAAAGACAAGGAATGAAAATTAGAGGCATTAGAAAACAATTGTCTGTCTGGATATTATCTCTCCATCATCTTCTTGGTCTGCCTCTTGGTCTACGACCATTCATCTCCCTAGTGTATAGTTTTTTTTTTTTACTTCTCTGTCATTTGACATTCTTTCAATATGCCCCAATCATTTCAGTCTCTCAGCTCTCACGATGCCAGTAATCAGTGGTGATTTAAACAGATTATGAATTTCATTGTTGCTTCTCACTCTCTATTCACCGCTTTTTGCATCTTTGATGAGTCCAAAGATTCGTCGTAAGACTGTTTTTGAAAACCTGTAATGAGGCTTCATATCTTTTAGTTGTGCTTCAAGTTTCAGAGCCATAGAAAATGACTGGTCTTATCAATGTTAGGATCTTGACACTTTGACTTTAGCAGATGTTGAAGGGCCTAAGCAAATTGATGAACACTGCAACAACAACAAATTGACAGTTGCTTCCTGAATTTGCCCCTTTGGCTGTGTAGGCAGGGTCTTTGAGCCCGAGGATTTTGGGCCACAGGGCTAGTGCTCTTGCCATATACTGTGCTGGTTAGGATTTTATTTTTGCCCCTTAGGTAGCCTGGCAGTCTTAACTGATCAGCCGGCCATTCATTGGTGACATTAAGTGAGATAATTTCAAGAAAGGCAAAGAAATAGGAGAGATGTCATGAATAAAAGACGATGGCAATACATCCAGCATATTCTGATGGGAAGTGGATCTATAGTCATCAAACAGGCACTGAAATGGGAAAGAAATAGACTGCAGCAATGGGGTTGTCCAAGAGAAATCCTGAGAAGAACATTGATGAGAGAAGCTAAAAGTGCCGGACTGGATTTTGTCCATGAAGTCAGTAAGATTTAACAGACTGAAGGTATGGATCACGAGACCGTTGTGATGAATTAGTGATTCAAGAGAATGGTAAAAGTAAAGATCCCTTTTCCCCACCTTTAGGTGTATAGGGCTAGACCAATAGACCAATCGGCACAAGAAGGGTGATGTGGTCAACATCAGGCCAGCCGCCTTTACTTCCCAGGACTGCATCCAGTACCCACTCAAGGCTGGGTCAACCTGGGAGTCGAAGTCATTTTTTTTAAAAAGTCCAGCTTCACCGCTATGCTACAGCGACTCCCCAAAAGAATAGTATCTCATAATTATAATTGTTCCTCTTAAATACATAAAGGAGCTGTAAACATTTTGAGCTTTTTTCAAGTTAGGGAAGTTTTGTTTGTTTTTTTTAACTTTTTTTTTTTTTTAGTTCTA